TTTCAGCCTGCTGCACCTTAACACACACAGGGTCATCTATGTCACGAGTTTTGCCTGTCAGCAGCTTGAGGTGCAGGGCCCTGGATGACAGACTCCCCCAGAGAGACACACACAGCTGCCAGGCTTCATGGTCTGGCAGGGCCCAGCACTCAGGCCTGCACTAGATTTTACCATGTAGACGTGATGCAACACAGACGTGACAGGAGATTTGCTTTCTAGAATTTGGGGTACAGTTTCCCCCAAACCCCTGCACATATCTTCTTGAAACAGACTTCATGCTCTCAGAAGAGGCTACCATCTCTGCAAGTTGCAACCAAATTGGAGATAAAACAGCAAAGTTAATAGATATTTCATTGATTCCCCGTTATAGCCTATAGCCAGACCTCTGAAGCGGCAAACTGATTTGGTGCTCTGGATCAGGTTGCTGCCATCCAAAGTGGCTGGATCCAAAGCCAGATCAGATCGCTGCCGACCCGCACAGGCCTACCACGTCTCATGTATCAGTCTCCCCACCCTTCAAAAGAGCAGTGCAGGTGCTTGAACTGAAGCGCATTCAACAAGCTTTATTTCAAGCACTTCTACCACCACCACATTTTGAAACTTGGGAACACTGATACATGAGATGCTAGAGGCTGCTGGAGCCGGCTAATTGGGGGCCCGGGTAATTCCCCTTCCCCCAGCCGACAGCTCCAACGTTTGAATTCCAGTATGTCGGAGCAGCCTCTGCGCCCGGGTATAGGTGTTCTTAATGTCTATAAGCCTTCCAATGCCTACATGAATGTAACCCATGCAGGTATACTAAGGCCAGGTAATCCGAAGGATTTTGAATCCTCCAGGTGCCAGTAGCCCTGGGAACCCCTCGGGCAGACTACTAACTGAGGTGTCCCATGGAGATGTGTGTCCCTCACCCTCAGCACCCAGGAATTTGCACTGAACCCGATTAACATGTTATTCTTTAGTAAACACAACCGATTTATATACAGAAAAAACAAACAAAAATATAATAACGATACTTAATAACAAAACTATCAATTTAGATAAAATGTACAACTGCAACATTAGCTGGATAATTCCAGCACACTGGGTGGTCCCACTTATGTTAAACAACTTAAATAACTAAATTTAGCTCATTATAAACTTTGCAAACAGTTCCCCCCATAACCCAATTGATTTTCTTCTGGTCACAATCCACTTCCCATAACGATAAACAGCAACAGCGCTATAACTATGCTCCACCAGTAGGTGGCAGAGGCAAGAAACAAAAGAGTCTAGGACAATATTTTTTTCTAAATTTTTGGACAATATAAATATTATTAAAACAAACAGATTCAAAGTAAAATGATGCCAAGATTGTATCTTTTGTTTCACTTTTATTGTTCTGCAGGGCAAATTTCTTCTTTCAGTGTTTCACCCAATTCTTACTAACTGCTGCATTTTGAGGAAGAAGTCCTGCTCTCAGCTCCATCCCTTAAAGGGAGATAGGTCTATCCCATCATAACACCCCATTGGCTTACTGTGGTTAAGGCATCCAGTTTCTGTGACCAATAGCCCACAAGAGAGTGATGTGAACTACACCTCAGACAGACACCTTTATCTTCCCTAGCCCGAATGACCTAGTACTTGTATACCACTGGGTCAACTGGGAACAGCCTCTGCCGTGAGTCCTTGCCAAACTGGAACGCATGTCTATGGAGCTGTAGCAAAACACCTCATCCACCCCCCTGCCCTAGTCATCTCTTGAAATCTGACATAACTAGTTGTTTATGTTCTTAATACCGGTGTTTGTTGAGAAGAGACGCTGACCTTTCCCATTTGTCCCTTCTTACTGTTAAAGGGACTAAAACCTGCTTTTGAAATGCTTATGCTTGTTGTGCATTTCCTTGCAGGCCGCAGGATATGTGTGGGTGAGAATCTTGCCAAAATGGAGCTCTTCCTCTTCTTCACAAGCCTCCTGCAGAGGTTCACGTTTCACCCTGCCCCTGGCATTTCCAGCTCAGACCTGGACCTCACCCCTGCAGTTGGGTTTGCTACACCGCCAATGCCCCATCAGATCTGTGCAGTGCCCCGGGCTTAGGGCTTCTGCTCTAGCAGCCATGCCTTACCTGTGTGGTTTCATTCCCCTCCATTCCCCATCACCCTACCTCCTGCCGCACACATCCATACAACGCATTGCTTTCTTCTCTGCTTTCCACTTTGTGTGGAGTTGGGTGATTTGGGGGGGGAGGTCGGGGTATACCACTGCTTTAGTGGCCTGGAATAAGGCAGAATTTCTCAAATAGAATTTGCAATTAAGTTAGTTAACTTGAGTTGATTGCCACAAACAGGAGCTGCCTATACCTCTTGTGCCAAGCATGCCTTAGTTTCATAGTTTCATAGTTTTGTAGTTTCATAGTAGGTAGGGTCAGAAGGGACCTGAGCAGATCATCAAGTTCGACCCCCTGCCATGGCAGGAAAAAGTACTGGGGTCAAACGACCCCGGCAAGGTGTTCATCCAGCCTCCTCTTAAAGACCCCCAGGGTAGGAGCCAGCACCACCTCT